TTAGAGATGATAGTGTTGAGTAACATACAATTCCAAAATTTTCTTCTCATTTTTTTTTCTTTGTTGTTTAGTATGCTTAAATGCAATAAAATATAAGTAGATGTCTATGATTTTGCATTTGGTAATATCGAATTGGTATTTTAAATTTAAAATTTGAAAAAAAAATTAGTTTAAAGTTTTGTGGATTACAGAGGGCACTTAATTAATAAACACGTGATGTAACACATAATATTTGTTTTTACTTGGTGATCAAAAGAAACAATAATGTAAAGGGAAAACTTTCGCTCTCAATGTGATTGTATTTCTCAATTATTGAAATAAAAGATATCTTTTAGTCACTTTTTACAGTAAAAATTTTCCAACTTTTTAGCTAATGTAGACAATTATGTAATTAGACCTAGCTTTCACCTGCACCAATACATATATTATATGTCGAAAAGTTGAGTAGAAGTCGTCAATGGAAAAGAAAAAATAAAATAAAATAATTTAAAAAGAGCGTCACGTTTTTGTTTTATATCGAAACGATGTTACTTGCATGGTATTAAATTTTAAATATATACGCTAACGGTGATTAAACATGTCTTATAAAATAAGGGGTAAGAGATTGTGTAAGATTAAATTTGTCAATCAATGGTTATATTTGTCTAATTGATAACTTTTCATATTATATTTAATTTTGGAAAGTTACATATATTTTTAATAGTTATATCAATTCATAAAGTCATGTTTGTTCAATATTGAAATCAAATGGTCAACAATTCATACTCTTTTTTTTTTTTTTTTTTTTTTTACAAATTATAATTCACCCTAGCATTTTTTATGGTCAAAATTAAAAAGTTTCAGAAAGTATTTTTTAGTGGTTTTCTTGTATCCTGGATGTATTTTGTCAGGGAGTAAACTTATATAAAGGGAACAAAAAATAGTTAAGAAAAATCAGTGCCTCAAAGTCACAAATGACTTGTTTATGTGAGAGTACTCTTATATTGTCTTATAATATATCATTAATCAATATTTGATTATTTGGTACAACAATATTTTGTTGAAATTTGATTATAGATTATGTTTGATTTTAAGACTTTATAGACATATAAGTTATGATATTATAGTTTAGTCATATAAGTATCAAACAGGGGATAGTTGATAGATGAGTAAAAAAATTTTATTTAAAAGTTTGTTTGTTTTTTTTTTTTTTTTAAAAAAAAGTTTATTTACCTCTTACAAGAACAGTATAAAATATGCAACTCATAGTAATAGCCCACGTTAACTTCCTATTCATAGCCCCCACACAAGATACACAACATATATAATATAATATATTTTATATTATTCTTATAAGAGGTAAATAAACAAGTATTATTAGTCACGAGGCAATGCTAGTGAAAAGATACTCTCATGTACGCTGTGTAAATATCCAATTTTTTTTTTTTTTTTTTTTTTTTTTTTTTTTTTTGAAAGGTTAAAAAGAGAGGAGCGATGTTTGTCACTACCATGCAATAATAATGATTAGAGTTTATATTTTATAATATTAATTATAGCGGACAAAAAAGTTGAATTGCCAAATGGAATCCACCAATAAGTGAAAAGAAATGATTACTACTGAGATCAGATATACAGCTAGGTTTTTTTGGCGTTTGTTTCAGCCTGGTTTCAAATGAAAAAGTAAGAAAAAAGTGTATGGTCCTCTTTCGATATCATTTAAATGGAGAGATTCCTCTTGAAAATTTTTATTGAAAAATAAAATTTATTTTATAATTCTATGCACTATGTTTTATGAAATTGAATAATAGTTTAATTATCAATGCTTGATGGATTAAACTTATTATTATCAATTTTTTGGTTAATTTTTTTTTGGAAGATCAGATTTTATAAAAAAAGAGGACCAACCAAAGGCTAGCCCAATGCTAACCAAAGCGGCCGAACAATACAGCCCAAATTTACAGCCTATAAGACAGACTAACAGCGAAACAAACCTTACAGCCTAATTACATCCCAAAAAAATGAAGTGACCTGAGGCCGAATAACAAGCCCAACGTAGAGTCAAGAAGACCGATGGAGGCAAACTCCGCTGCGAGGCACATGGAGAAAATCTCCTCAATCAGGAACATTGTTGTCAGGTGGTTTCGCCGGTGGTCTTGTGATTAGCACAGTAGATGGAAGCTCCCATTCCTCTGCAATTCTGTTAGGGTTAGATGAGTCGATTGTTGGCATGGAGTGCAATTTCCATCGAATTGGTTCCAGAGCTTGGTGTAAGATTGAGTTTGCATGAAGAGACTTTTTTTTGAAAAATCCTTCTGTTGCATTCATTCCAGATGCAATAAACAAGTGATGCCAGGCCTAATTTTGAAGCTGTGACACCGTAGAAGCTTGATCTTCTTCTCCAATGGTGTGATGCCCAATTAATCAAAGTAGACCATGAAAAGGGCTGAATGTGAAACCACAACGTATTTGTAGAAATGTCCACAAAGGTTTGACAAAATCGCACTTGAAGAAAAGGTGGTCATGGGTTTTCAATTCCTTGTTGCAGAGGACACACATTGTGGCATTGATGTGGGAGGTGCATCTTCTGTTTAATGTTAGGAGTTGGCTTTGGATGGCAACCCATAATGTAAATGCGTGTTTTGGAATTGAAGGCTTGGTCCAGACTAGGTGAGTCCATAGTAAGGTATGTAAGTGTTGGTTTAGGTGTTTCAAGGTTTGGGAGATTGAGAATTTGGCTGCATTTGATGGACACCATATAACCTTGTCTTGATTGTGTGGATTAGGGTGTGGAAGGTTAGCTATTGGAAGTAGCTGAGGTATTAGTGTGGTGATGGTGATTGGAAATTGCCACTGTGAGTTGACAATGAAAGAAGCAAGCTTGGTTTTACTGTCATGATTTGAGGAAGAGATCTGTTGGGGGGATACAAGTTTATACAAAGGACCAAGGCTGCTCCAATTATCAAACCAGAAATTGGATTTATTCCCATTACCAATTTTAACTTTGACAAGATGCTGAATAGTGGTTCTAAGGTTGAGAAGCCTCCTCAAGTCTAAGAACACTATCCAGGGATTTTTACTTCCTATATGCTTCTACCTTTCAAAAGGTAGGTGTTGATCCATTTAACCCACAACATGTCTTTAGAGCTAATGATATCCCAGAAGTGTTTCATGATGGCCACCTCATTCCAGGATAGAAGGTTAGGCAGTCCCAAGCCTCCTGCTCTTTTGGGAAGGCAACAACTTTCCCAATTTACTTTACCTCCTGTCTTCTTAAGAGCTGGACCAAACCAAAGGAAGGACTTGAAGACGCTGTCCATTTAATTGATAATGCTTTGTGTAGAGAAAAACACAGCTCTTATCAGCTACAGTCTACCTGCAAAGGAAAGATCTCTACTAGTCCAGTGAGTTATTCTTGATATAGTCTTGTCAATGAGGGATCTGCAATCAGCTGCTCGCAACATGGATGTAACCAGTGGCACACCTAGGTATCTTACTGGGAGAGTACCTTTATCAAAGCCAAGCAAAGAAAGAATGTTAGCTTCCATTTTTTGGTTAAATTGCCAATGTGATTTTATACCGTTAGGTAATTATTTTTTAACTTTATTTGATAAGATTTTAATTTTTTATGTTGATACTTTAGTTTTTATATGAGTAGGGAGATTTGCATCAATAATATCTATTTATATTTGGATAGATAGAAGAGAAACGAAAAGAAAAGAAATGATACTATTCTTGTTTGGATATGATAGATTGGAGAAAAGAAGAGAAATAATAAAAATCAAATTACTATGGTATCCTTTTAAATAAAATGGATGGATACGAGTGGAATAATAATTTTTTTTTTTTAATTATTGAGGATAGTTTGAGAATTATAAAAATACTCCTTAAACATTGTCCTTTCTCTCCCTATCTTTTAATTTTTTTGAGAGATATGAAACCAGCTACCCTCTCTATCTCTCTCTCTCTCTATCCTTTCTCTCTCATTTTAAAACACAAACACAATTAAGCTCTATCCTTTCTTTTCTTTTCTTTCCCTATCCCTCTGAATCATCCCATCCAAACACAATCTAATATGCCTGTGATATAAACGATACTTGGGGATGATAGTGTTTGCTAAATACTCTGCTACATAATTCTAAAGTTTAATCTTGAGTCAGATGGAATTCCAAATTTTTCTTCTACTTATTGCCCTTGATTTCTCAGAGTTGAGAATGAATTTAACCCCAACAATTACCACTCAGACCACAGATCTGAACATAAACAAAACTGGGACTATCCTTGATCGTTTTCATATTTTGTTTGGCTATAAAAAACCTATAGCCATTTGGACTTCTCAATTAAGATACTTACATTATCTTTTTTTTTTTCCTTTGTTGTTTAGTTGGCTTAGATGCTATAAAATATAACTAGATGTCCATGATGTTGCATTTGGCAATATCAAATTGGTATCACCTTTCAATATATATATATATATCTTGAATTGGTATTTTAAATTTAAAAGGAGAGAAAAGAAAGGAAAATTGAGTGTTCGTGACTCAATGTAGCTTTTGCAGTGTTGTTCTTGCCGCCCAAATTATAAGAATAACAGAAAAGCACTTGCTAGAAACAAATTCCTAGATTCTGAAAATAGTAATGTAGCTTTTGCAGTGTTGTTCTTGCAGCCCAAATTATAAGAATAACAGAAAAACACATGCTAGAAACAAATTCCTAGATTCTAAAAATAATCATGCTATATTTGGGAGTATCAAATCGACGGTTCGAATTTAGAATTAGAATAAATTTAATTAAAACTTTAAACTAATTTTTTCAAATTTTAAATTTTCCATAACAAAATGCAGATTTATTGATTTGGCTATTGAATTTTTCCAACTTCTCCACAGATCAGTTTTTTTTTTTTTTTCAAGATATTATTGAACAGAAGGTGTTTGTACAAATGCCAAAGGCAGCAAAAAGAAATAAAAATAGAGCAAAACAGAGCAAGTTCTAACAAGAGCAGAACTGACAAACTTGACAAACTAATCAGAGGTTGCTTCTAAACAGAACAAGTTCTAACATGAGACCACAAAGCCGCTAACATGCTGCTGCTTCTGCAATTCATCAAAGAGAGGCTGCTGAGTCTAGATTAGGCTGTGTATTTGCCTAATCAGAGATTGCTTCCAATAAGTCGATTTTATTTTATTTTATTTATTTATTTATTTTTTTTGCTATTGCCATTTAAACTAATAATTTAACTAAATTTTTAGGTAAAGGTGATATATAGCATTCTCCAAAAATGCTTCATTTAAGTAAAGGATGCTTTATTTAGGACACTTTTAAAGAAAATATGACTACAACAGCTTAACAAAATCATATATTTATGTTTTAGCTTCATTTGTAGCAAGGCCGGTGGCTGACTAGCAAGAATACGGAGTAGCAACAACAAGCAGAGGATTCTTTCTGTTGAGGGTTATACCAGGGGCTTCAGTCATGTCCATATCTTGGCCTTTTGCTCCATCAGGTAATGCAAAATCAAACTTGTGTACAAGCTTTGCTAATGCAAGCTCATAAACAGACTTGGCGAAATGGATTCCGGGACAACCTCTCCTGCCAGCTCCAAATGGAGTAAATTGGAAGTCCTGCCCTTTATAATCTACTGAAGTATTCAAGAACCTTTCTGGCTGAAACTCTTCAGCGTCTTCCCACAATGTTGAGTCTCGTGAAATTGCCCAAGCATTGATAAACACTTTTGTGCCAGCTGCAATGTCGTAGTCCATTACTTTGACATCTTTAATGGCTTCTCGAGGAATTAGCAATGGTATAGGAGGATGTAATCGCATAGACTCCTTGATCACCGCTTTCAAGTAATGCATTTTCTCTAAATCATCCTCGACTATGTCCTCTTTGCCTTTGGCTATTCCTCGAACCTCATTCTGCAGTTCCTTCATGACTTTGGGGTGTCTTAAAAGCTCTATCATTTCCCATTCTAGAGTTGTGTAAGTAGTTTCAGTTCCAGCAGCAAACATATCCTACACGAAATAAATTAAAAGATGGTTATTCATGACAAGTTGTAAAGAGTCGGTCATAAAGGTTTAAGTACGAAGGTTTATCATGGTGGTTTTACCACCAAGGTATGAGAAGGTACACAATATCTTAAGGTATTTTGACACCTGGTAGTCTTCCTAACGAAAACTCTCCATAATAGAGAAAACGAAAACTCTTGATGATAGAGAAATGGAGAGTTTTCAAGAGAAATGAAGAATTATCCAAAGTTCTCAAGAATGAAAGAAAAAATTAGTTCGAACTATTATCATGATTATACATGGTGCCAAAATTAATTGGTTAGTGTCATTGAATTTTAGGGAGAGATAAAGTCCCTTACCAAGATGACACCTTTTATGCTGTCTCTGTGAATAGGAAAGGAGGTGGACTTCTCTCTTTGAATTCCAAGTAAAATGTCCAAGAAATCCTCTCGCCCTTCGTCATTCCCGCCACCATCCCTCTCCGGTTTTAGACGATCCATATGCTCTTCCACTGCATCCTCCAAAAAATTATCAAGTTCCTTAGCAACTTTCTCTACTTTAGCATTCAAACCGTTGATAGAATTCAACCATGCAAGCCATGGAATATGCTCCCCCACATTGAAAACAGCCAAAATCTCCATGAAATCCCTAAACAACTCCCTTAACTTCCTCTCTCCTTCTCGTTCACTGTACTTCTTTCCCAATACTATGCGACACAATACATCATTTGTCAGTGAGATTAACATTTCAGTTAAATTTACTGAAGAAGAAGAAGACTGTTCGATCTTCTCCAACAAAAGACTTGTTTCTTCTTCTCTCACTCTACGGAAAGACTGAACCCTTTTGTTATTCAGAAGTTGGAATACACAAATGCTTCTTAGTTGCCTCCAATACTCTCCATAAGAACCGAATGCAACGTCCTTGTCATAGAAAAGTTTCATGGGAATGCTTGATTTAGGTCTGGTTGCGAAGTTGACATCATGGGTTTTCATGATCTCGCGAGCTGCATCAGCAGAGGAGACGATGAGAGCGGGCTTGCTGCCGAGGTGAAGCAGCATGAGTGGTCCATATTGTTGAGCTAATGTTTGGAGGGAGCGGTGAGAGAGCAATCCAAGTTGGTGGAGATTTCCAATAATTGGGAGCTTTGACGGAGAAGGTGGCGGATTTCTTAGGGCTTTTGAATTGGACAGCAATTTCAAAAGAAGGCCTAAAGAGAAGAACAAAAGAAGAAGAGAGTAAAATAAAGAGTCGAATGAGAACAACATTTTTTGTTGCTCTGGTAAAGAGAAGAACAAAAGAAGAAGAACGAAAGACCTTAATTTCGGGTGAGTATAGCTTCTACTGCTAGTGCATTGTATATATGGGCATCTCCTCAGGGCACAAGCTAGGCAGCCTGTGTATCTTCTATGGAATGCAACGTGTAATATATGTTAAATCTAGCAAACATTTTTAAAACGTTTACCATTGATTTATTGTTATTAAATACTACCCTCGCACACTCTACACTTTCAATTTATGACCTAAGCACAGTTTTTCTCTTTTCTTTTGATTCTTATTTTGTTGAAGAGGAATGTTAAACTTCATGTCATATAGTATCATGATGATATGACATGTGAGTTGACAGCAAAGGGTAATTTAAGAGCAAATTTTTAGGAGAGACAATAGGAGAAGGAAGAGATCGAAACCCCTCACCAATGGAGAGAAACGACACGAGCTTGTATATTGTAATTGATAAATATATAAATAGACTTTTGGTTGATGGGCAACTTTGATAATACGATTGTAAATATGATATTTAAATTTGGATTAATTATGTTTGAGTATAATGAGATTATGTTGATGTGTAAGTGTATATATGTATATGCGTGTGTGTGTGTGTACAAGTAAAGATCAGGTTGTGTTAATGTCATGGAATCACGATCTTCATGGGGATTTTGATTAGTAGGACGAATGCTTTATTGCAGAATCTTCATGGAATTCCCTTAGGGTTCTTGTGTCTAGGAAGTGTACATGAAGCAGGGCATCCAACCACCATTAGATGTTTGATCTGTTATACAATATAGGTGCAAAGGTTTTCTATGTCATTTGATAGTTAGAGAGAGAGTTGAGAGAGAGGTAAGCTGGTTGATTTTAAAAATAATTAATTCACTAAAGTAAGCTAGATGATTTAGAAAGAAAAATAATAATAATAAAAAAGGGGGAACAAAAATGTTATTGTAATGCTATTCATGATGGACGTATGCCGCTCTTTCCCGAATGCACCATGTAACACGTTTTTCATACATATTTTCATTTTATTTGTGGATCCCAAATGTCTCTTTCATATGTAGAGGAATGCTAAGGACAGTTGTTAGGCGACTGTTCATTAACCGTCGCTGTTCTTATTGGTGAATAGAATTATAATTAAAGCCTTCATTAATTACAAGTTTTTCACTTTTTATGAAATATAAAAACTATATATTTTTTGAACAAAACAGCCTTTTTAAGCTTTTCACCCGTCTCTTCAGTTCTCACTTAATGAAGTTTATATATATATATATATATATATATATATATAGCATTACAGCATTACTTTCCTCTCTTTTTTTTTTTTTTTTTTTTTTTTTTTTGCGATCCGTATGCCTATATATAAAGCATTACTTTTCTTTTCTTTTTTTCATTTTTTTTGCTTTGTTAGATGTGTAAGGGTTACTTTCCTTTTCTTTTTTTCCTTGTTATATCCGTATGCCAATTTATATATATATATACATGCAATCCTCTCAACCATAAATTCATATAGAGAATAAATATATATATTTATATATATATAAGGGTTAAACGACAATTAAAAATAAGCACCAATATGTGAATGAAGGAATGAGTGGAAAGAAAGGCAAATGATAGGATAAGGGTAGTTTTGTTCATAAAAATATATATTTTAATATCTTATAAAAAGTAAAAAAAATTAAGGAAGGCGTTAATTACAATTCAACTCAACAATAAGAACAGCAACTGTGAATGAGCAGTCGTTAGATTAACTGTCCTTAACATTTCTTTTATATGTAAATACATAATGTTAAGTTATTAGTATTGCATCCTCAACAATCCTGATTGATCAGGATCACTCACATTGCAGCAATTATATAACTACACACCAAAAACAAAATACTCCATATTAAATACATAATGTTAACTTATTAGTATGGAATTCTCAACAGCCGAACTGTGAATGACCACAATTACTCACATTGCAACAATTATATGTACAGTGAAAACAAAATACTCCGTATTAGTCTATATCATAAGCTTGGAAAACTTTTAAATAATGTTTATAAAAAAACAAAATATTAATGCATATAATTGTATGATTAGACCTATCACCAACCCGCAATAAATATATGTGAATACATTAAAAGTGGTTGAGATGAATTCATCGATGAAAAAGTAATGATAAAAATAAAAAATGTTAAAGTGGTACACATTCACTCGTCCTTTTTTATTATTATTTTATTTTGTCTAAAAAGTAAAATTATTGGAGACGTAATAATTGTTGCAAGTGGTAAGACTCTTGTGGTTTGTGTACCGGCCTATGATCTGCCCCTATTTCTATTTTTCTTTTTTGTATTAAATTATAGGTAGGACCCTAACTAAATGAAACGTCAGACGTATCGTTAAGAATTACGTTGATATTAGTTTGTTTAATAAAGAAATCAATCTCAAAAAGAATTTTCAAATTTAATTAATACACCAACAAATCTTAGAAAACCTATAATTCGGCTTGCTCGTGAACATATTCATAAATAAAGTTCATAATTGTGATCGCAAACATAGATAATATTATACATATACACATTAACATATATTTAGAGAGACACATACACATATGTTTTATTTTAGAATGATGATTTCAAGCCCGATAAGATTTCTAAAACTCATTTAGGTCTATTTTCATTTATAACAAACCCAGCCCAAAAAAGTCCAATCCAACTAGACTTATATAATTTTATCCCTAAAATAAATAAAAAAGTACATATAACTAAGGCCCATAGTTCATTTTACAAATTGAAAACCTGATATCTCTCTCTCCTCAGAGGGAACCTAATCCTCTCAAGTTGTAATCCCTTCAAGTCCCTCAAGTTGTAACCCAACGGTATCAAAGTACGTAGTCCACGCCTTTTAAATCTAAAATTAATTTTGGGGTCCACACAAACAGTCATTTGTCATCGAAAAACGTACCATTATTTTGTTAACGGATGAAATTTATTGAGGGAGCGAATCAGCTCCAATTGAACTCCTGTCAAGTTCCTCAAGTAAAAAGCTATGTGGTCTTGATTGAGCCACATCATTTAATGAGTCATATCAGTTTTAGGGTAAAATAGGAAGGGGAGTGCTATCTGTAGTCGCATCCACGACTGCAAATCCGCACTCGCACCCGTGTCAGCAGTCTATTGGCTGTTGACACTAACTTTTTTGAATTTTCGAGGCCGGCCTTTATTCGCTTTCCTCTCATTCTCTCTCTAACCTAACCTCTGTATTTACTCTCTCATCTTCCTCTCTCTAACCTAACCTTTCTACATACCCATATTCATTCATCTCTTCTCCTTCATCACCACACCCTTCAACTAATGGATTTGGGGCAAACCAATCTTTTCATTGTTGAATCCCTGAGAAAACCCTAAACTGGGCAAAGAAAGATTCACTGCTTGCATTAGATTTGCTCCACCAGAAGCCACCACACCAACTTGGTCTGACCCAAAACGTTGATCTACAACACCAACCCCACCATTGAATTCCAAGTCCTGTCCATAGCTAGTTTGCAGCAACATATGTACTGGTTTGTGATTGGACCAGTTATGATACCCCGAATTTCCACATGTAGCTAGGTTGACCAGGCCAACACCCGAAGACCGGTGGATATAAAAAACAATTGATAATAAACAAATACAGAATACAAGAGGAATATAATAAAATAAATAATAACGCTGAAAAGAGAAAACTAAAATAAAGTTAATCATTACTTAAATAATAAAATTTCCGTAAGTTACGTCTCCTTAACCAAACTTAATCTCCAAAAGTATACAATTCAAGAATTCATAAATCAAGGACCCCTAATAAAAAGTCATAACTGAAATATAAAGATATCAAGTATACTAATTAACTAAACAAAGCTAATATCCTACATCAATGACTTCAGAAGAGTGAAGATGAATGCTCTTTGATTAGCACGAATAACCTCAAGGCTGTAACCAATAATCACCTGAAAAATATAACAAATGTGGGTCAAAACCCACGAACAATTTCTTTCTACTACAACCCAATCAAAAAACCAATAAGCAATACATCCGTAGTCAACTCATGCAATATCTACGTAGTCAATAGATAGATATATATACACACACTAAAGACTCTCGCTGGGCTATCGAGCAGACTTAACTGGATAGTGGGTATCTTATGAAAAATAGCACACGAAGTGGTCATTAGTCTTCATTCTACCAAGGCACACACATTTTTTATATCCAGTTACCCATCTCAACCGGCAATATACGCCTCAGTCCTAATCACTGATCTTGAGACCTCAAACTCGTATTAGGGTTTACATATATAATATATAACATCATCAATAAACAGACCTATATTTAACAATGGCACAAGTAGTCTTGACATATTAGCCAGCCCACCTACATATCAAATCGTCAAAACCATATTTAATAATGGCATACAATATCAAGGTGTCTAACTTATTAGCTATCTCAAATATCCATTGCATTTAATTAAGTAATATACAACAATCTTAAATAACATGTAATTAACTTACAAAACAAGTAATTAACTTACATCTTAATTTAATTGCATAAACCTCCATATTATTGCATATTATTGTATATTATGTATTTTAGGAATTAATTATGTCCATTTAAATCATTTAAATCGACCAATATGATCTAAATAGCTTTGAAACCCACGAAAACAAAATAAAAACCCAATTAAACCAATTTGCTAATTTTTCTAGAAAGGGAGTCGGCTCCTTTTCAAGGGAGCCGACTTTTTATCACAAGGGTGCTAGCTCCCTTGAAAAGGTTCCAGCTTTCTACCTGAGAACTGAAAAAATCAACAAGGAGTCGGCTCTCGACCTGCTGCACTTCGTCTTCTCCAACTCCGGCCGTTGTAAATTGTTCTTTTCTCATCTGTTAAGGGTCCTAAACACCCGTACTAAGTCCCAAACGATCCTAATTAATTATTTAAAGTCATTATGCATCATTAAAATAATTTAAAACAAATTTTCATGCATCAAGATTCAAGATCAAGTAAATATATATACATAAACATACATGCTGTTTTAAATCTGATTAACCATGAAAATATGATCGTTTTTACTGTATAATTATCCTAGAATTGACCTAGGTATCTACTGAACACGAACCCAAAGGAGCTGAGTAGAATAAAAACTTGCCTTTACGAGTTTCGGACAGAAAACCCGGATCTCCTTCTTTCTGTTCTATTCTCTATTTCCCGGCGACCTTTGGTTGCCTTTGCTGCCTTCTGTTGCTCGCGTCCTAATCCACAAAAAACCCTCTTATCCTTCCTCCGTGGTTTCGGCTTTTCTTCCTTGGCAACACCTTCTTCTATCTCTCTAAAACTCTCGGCCTCTCCTTTTCTCTCTAACTCTTTCTCTATCTTCTATCTCACGCAGTAAAACAGCCCCTCATAGACATCTAATGCATATATATTTATAGGGTACATAATACCATAATCTTAGTTATACTACTCTTCTGCCTTAGAGGAAAAGAAAAGGAAAAATAAAATAATTAAAGTAATAAATATACTAACTATATAATATCATGTATAACTATATAATATCACGTATGTACATATATACATACCCATTAATAAATATAAATAGATAACTGACTCCACCATATTATTATTAATCATAATAATAATAATAATAACATCCATATATATATATACATATACACACACACACACACATATACACATCTATATACATATATAAATATAACTAATACCCATGGGTCATAATCCTTATCCATTTAGGCTTCCTATTCAAGTAGTCCATGAGATCCATTTAGTTGGTCCATTAGTATTATCCAAATCCATTTCCTTTATTTTAAACTTTAAAAAAAAAATAAAATACAACATTTAATCTTAACAATTAATTACAAATAATTACACATAATTAAACAAGAAATTACACACATTTAAATCACACAATTCACGTAGACAATTAAATCAAATAAGCACATAATTACATAGCCACATAATCAAATAAAATGAAAATAAAATAAAAGAATAAATCATCAAATAAATCCTTTAAAAATTAGGGGTATTATAATTAAGAGCTGAGAGAACCCAAAGGGAGAAAGAATTCAACGAAAACCTAAAGGTAGACTAATGGTGAGCTGAGAAAAGCATCTCGCCCTCCTCAAAACCATCACCGGTACTGAAGTTCAATGGTGAGGGTATTCGTCAAGGAAACGTCTTCGGGAATTTTGTTTTTTCTCCTCACTTGAAGAACAGAAATGGATTTCCTCTCCGCTACATCAATAGGAAAAACAATCGGGCCCTTAGCAGAATGTTGGCCACTTATGTCGACCTCAGGTGCCCCCGAGTCATATTAAAAAACCCTAGTACTCAAGGTGCGACTGTTGCTCCATTAACTCATAACTTTGAAATCAAATGGGAAAAGAAAAACGAAATAGAGAAAGAAGAAGATTGACCTTCGTCGAATGGATGAAATCGCTGTAAGGAAGGGACTTCTATAATACCCCTAAAATTAAAAAGGATAAAATTGGGATTTAAATTTCATTCTATGTGCATTTTTGTCTATTGATTTTGTAATTGTTGTATTTTGTTTGTTTTATTTAATTATTTGTAAATTGTTACTTGTGTATTTGTATTTCCTTATTTGGTTAATTATTTTCTTTATTTGAATTATGGTCTGTTTAGTTATCTGAGTTATTGTATTACTTGTTTTATTTTAAATTGTATTTTAAATGCCTTATTTGGTTAATTATTTAATTGTCTTTAATAAGTGCTTAAGTAGAAGTTGAATTAACAATTTTCAGTTAGGGTTTCTTGGAGCCGTCATACAAGTATTTAACGTGTATGTGACTTAAGTTTATGGGCCGACTCTAGTTTAATTAGGTTTCTGCCTTAGCTCTAGTTTAATTAGGGTTTTTTAAAGGCCTATATATATATAGTTTAATTAGGGTTTTCTAAAGGCCTATATATATACGTGTATGAGTTTCACTAAGGGTTTTGGAAGAACCCTATTCACGGCACAGTAAAAATAGAACATAACAGAGAGAGAGTTGAGAGAACAGAGGCAATTGTAAGAGCTACCAAGGACAAGAACAGAGAGGGTCAAAGGAGGGTTGTGGTGGATTAGATCACACCCATAGAAGGCTTGAAGGAAGTTAGTAGTTACCGGAAACTTAGAGACGACACCGGGATTTCATAACTGAAATCACAGGCAAGTTCTTCTCTTTCTCCTTCTCTTTTGCTCGTGTTCTGTGCACCTAGATGATCTCTAGGGTTTAATCAATCAATAACTGGAAGTTATATGTTTAATATATGTTATATGAATGATCTGTTTGCCGTAAATTCAAATCTGTTTACAGTTCATGTATGGTTGCTCCCAGTTTTGTTTTTAAAAGCATATTAAGTTTTGTTGTAATGTTTGTTACTGTATTTGCTTCCATATTCTATAAACGATCCATGTGGATGTTAATGGGATGATAGAAGACCTTAGGTTCAGTATTATTGAGGAACAGAGGGGTTGGAATGGAGCTGTGGTTGCAAAATAGTTTTAGTGTTGTCCCTAAAGCATGTCTAGTTTGGTAGCAAATTTGATCTATGTAATTGATTTAAATGGTTAAAATCAAACCTTTGCGATGCTAGTGGATATTAATTAGACCTTTAGGATCAGTTTTTGAAACCAACTGAAGGGCAAAAACATGCCGGAGAAGAAGCAGAAAGTCAGAACGGAGCAGAACGGGGACAGAGGCTCTCAAAGGAGGTGAGAGCTGGCTCCATGGATGTGGGAGCCGGCTCCCATACTCATTGAGCCGGCTCTAAATTCTATAGAGCCGGCTCCAGGCTCAAAAAGAGCCTGCTCTTGGAATTTAGAGCAGGCTCTTTCAAATAGTGGTTTTTTGAATTTTTTTTTACGATCTGTTTGCAACTGTTGGAGCATGGGAACTGTCTGGATGGGTCTGGGTCTACATAGAGGTATTAAGAAATTTATTTTGGGTGTAATTAATACCTTAAGTTGATTAATGTTGACCTCTAAGTCAATGGGACAAACAGTATAAAATTAAGGAATTTTCTACGCTACTAACGGATGGAAGAGAAATGAATTGCTTAATTAAATTTCAGCAATTGTTATGGGATTTAGTAAGTTATTAAAACTTATTTTATATGCATGGTGAAGTATTTTAATTAACCAATTGGACTTGTGGCATAGTGTATGGCTCTGTGCTAAAAGATGAAACAGAATACGAGTATACAACTTAGTACGCTGTTATCGGACGAAAGGAACTAAATTGCCTAGGTTAGTTTAGGAATTGATTGGACTATAATATGATTATAAAACTTAATTGTAATGCATGATACAGTCATTGATACATTAGATGTGATCTACGCATGATTTGGATGCTAGTTGTTGAACCTTTAAACCGTTTCCTGCAAATACATGGTTTAACTCTTGAATTTAAATTGCTGAAACTATAAATAGTCTCCTGGAAGTATTTGGGATGGTTCTGGATTGTAAATTGCTAAACTGTTAATTATGTGTTGTAATTTACATGGGTTGGATGTTAATTGTGGAATCTTATATATTATTCTACAGTTAATTGGATTATGGTTTTGAACTGTAATTGTTGTGGCATTGTATAAACTATTCTGCAATGATATGGATAATTGGTCTTAGACTGTAAATTACTTGCTTATTATTTATATGTTGTAATTTACATTGATATGGAGGATTGTATGCACTGGTATGGGACGGTGACATACTAGGTATGGTTTAGCTCAAAACGCTCATTCCTACCTTATGGATTTTAATTGGTGAACAGTTTTACCTATTCAATCAATTATATGGATTTTGTGGATTGTATGTACCGGTATGGGACGGTGGCATACTAGGGACAGACTGATTCAAAGTAACTCAGTCCTACTTATTTTGGATTAAGGGTTCGAATTATAAAAACATAATTCTCCTTATATTTAAGTCTG